TCAATGAAAGGAAGTGTAGGCTACATGATAAGAAGGGAATACAGTTTGAATAAAAGTAATACAGTACAGTGTAACACTGTACTGTATTACTTTTTCATGTACAAATACTGTTACTGTACGATATCAATAACAATAATTAGAGATGTCCCGATCCGATCACGTGATCGGGGATCGGAGCCGATCACGTGATTTTCAAAAGATCGGAATCGGGAGGAAAAAAATCGGGGATCAGGATTTGTTTTTTCTGTTTTTTTATAAATACAAAAATGACCATGTTCAAGTCTTAAAGTCATACTGAGGCCTTAGTTTTGGTTTCAAATTTCAGAACATCATGTATGTGTTGCTTCTTTGGGGCTTGTTTTCATAGACCTGGTTGCTTCTCTCAAATCTGGCAGGGTGCAGTGTCTAATTGTAGCAGTAAGCTAAAGTAAGCTAACGAGTACTGAAAGCTTTATTTTGTTTTGATCCAATGCTGCACAACTGAACTGATCCAATGCTGCTGTGAAAGAAAGAAGCTATATCCATGTTGGATAGAATATCCAATTTAAATAAAAAAATAACCTTAAGGGGTCAACTTAAATGCTTTTTTTCTTTTTTTTCTCTTAATGCATTGCATAAAGATCGGATCGGGAAAAATCGGTATTGGCAAATTGTCAAAATCAAATGATCGGAATCGGATCGAGAGCAAAAAAAGGTGATCGGGACATCCCTAACAATAATCCACAGCTCCTCTCTCTGCTCCAGGGGATAAACATTTGTTTGGGTGCGTTGGGGGGGGTACCCGAGCAGCACCCTGCCAAGGCAGTAAACCTAGGGGAAACACTGGATTATATCCCACTGTTTTGTAGGGTGTGATGGTTTTGCATACAGTGCCAGAGGGGGGTATCAGCTGGCCTCCCAGAATGTTGTTGTAATGTAAATCTGCTTTGATGTCTCTCTTGTAAAGAGAGCCTGTTTTACTCAGAACAGGACGTTCTCCGTTGGAGGGGACGTCATACTTCCAAGTATAAAGGTCCCTTATTGCTTTTAATATGAATATTGTGTTGCTGTTCGTTTGTTACCTTACTGATTATTCTCTCTAGACCACAGCTGATTTTAAGCTGCTCAGACAGTAACAAGGTGTTGCAGATGGACAGATGATCGATTGTTGTACCTGACAACTCAAGTTACTGTTTACGTGTAGTGGAAATGTCACTTCAATGCAACTTTCTAACAGTTATCAGTTCCACTGGTACACCATGCTTAAAACTATTTACAGAGCCATAACTGGAGACTGACTCGTGTGTGTGTGTGTGTGTGTGTGTGTGTGTGTGTGTGTGTGTGTGCGTGCGTGCGTGCGTGCGTGCGCGCGCTCTGCTTCTTCAAAAAAATGATGTGGAGAGTTTTTTGCCGTACCTTGTCATGGGCCTTCTCTGTGGCGCGGGGGGTCAGCTGTTGAATCTCCGCCCCTGCTGTGGACAGGTCTGCTGGGAGATCCCACACCTTCACCGTACAGTCCTGACTGCCAGACACTACGAAAGATGCTTTCATCCTGGACAGAAACATGGAGAGCCATTGCTGTCACACACGCTCATTGGTTTTCTTTTACTAACAATGAATACCCTTCTTCTTACCACCAGGCTCTTTGCATGTGATGTGATGGAATAGGATGTGAGTGTAAACTAGTTACCTGGAGCAGGTGATGGAGCCCACAGCGTTAGCGTGGTTGGAGCCCTGAGCCACACAGTGCACCTGACCACTGTCGCTGTCCATCTTCCACACACGCACTGACCTGTCCTAAAGACACACACATTTCATACTTTACTTGAATGTAGTTATAAAGGGTCTCTATTTATATAATTTGTGAGGTTGTGGTGATACTGGTAATCTTGCATGTGCCGAATGCCTTAGAAGCCATTGTGTACAATAGTTGTTCTCTTGAGTTTCTATTCTTTGTGTTCAGCATTGCGCTCACCTTTGCACAGCTCGCAAACAGAGAACCCTTTTTGAACACGTCCAACGAGAGGACAGTATCTGTGGATGGTGAACAGATAAAAATAGCAGTGAATGTCAGAGTAGATAATCTTCTCTCCAACCTGCTCAGCAAGTCCCTTTCAACACGTGCCGAGACAAGGTGTATGTTTCAAATCTGAATTCTTTGGTTTCCGTTGCTCTAATGACACCTTTCATTTTAGGTTACCATGTCATTCAGTTATGACATTAAGTCGTTCTTTTCAAATGTAGCTTTTAGAAGCTGTGTAATCAAATGTTTGTATAAAATCAATGTATATTCTATATTCCTACATTTAAAAAAAAAAAATGCATTTTGAGATGCATTGCTATTGCTTTATAAAGCACTACGTTAGTTTAATACAAAAAAAAGTTATTCATTTTCAATAGATCACATCAACCAACAATCAGCCAGCCGCAACCCTAACTAATTTCTGTCTCAGTTACTTAAGTTTCTCCAAGTCGTAAAAGGTTGACACCAAGTTAAAAAAGCTAGGGACAGTAGGGCCAATAGACTGCGTGTTGATGTCAAGTTTACTGTGGTTCCTTTCTGCCCTCTGGTGAATAAATGAACAAACTGCTATGCATTTCACATCATGTACACACTCATGCCCTCTGCTGGTGACTGACCTGTGTGTCCGTAGAGGATCTGGCAGCTGTTGGTGAGCAGCTCAAACACCTTCAGCTGGCTGCTGTTGGTGGCCACCACTATGTGGCTGTCTCCTTTCCCCAGAAACTTCACATCCAGCACTTCGTCATTGTATCCCACAAACTGGGAGAAGTTAGAAGGAGGAAGCCACAGAGGAAGAAAGTGGAGATGTATTATATGTATATGATAATAAAGGAATCTGGCTGAATGAAGTCTGCAGTTTGACGCTCAAGTTCAAGAACTATTAGCAAGGTAAATAACTCCATCTCCCCCTCTGTACCGACCTGCTGCTGTGTGGAGAGAGCAGGCAGCTGGTAGAGGACGATGTTGTGCTCTGCTGTGACGGTGGCCAGTCGAGAGGAGGCGGGAAGGTGGAGGAGATGTGTAAGACCGCGGGGGTCGTCCTCTTCCTCTTCAGAGGAAGCGGAAAGGCTGGAGCCAAGGGTCTGAGCGTAAACACAACGCGCCGTGCTGGCCTCCCACACTCGCAATTCACCTGCCGTGTGAGAAAGGGAGATGAGGTGAGTGTAAGTAGGGTTGCAAAATTCCGGGAATTTTCAAAGATGGAAACTTTCCACGGGAATAAACAGGAATTTATGGGAATAAACTGGGAATTTTCAAAATTGAAGGTTGGCTCTTCATAGGGAACTTAAATATAGTTGGGGAAAGTATATTTTAGCATAATCTTGACTAAAACAAACAGATGCCATTCAAGTACACTTGAATATCCATGCCATAGCACACTGCTTACTGCATGGCTATTGAGACCACACAAAGGTTCGCAACAGGCTCACAAATGTGAGAGTGGAAAAACTGGTTGGCATTCGGGCAAACTTAAGGCTCTTTGAGCGGACACAGAGCCATCCTCTACAAGGCTGGACAGTGACACTGAAGAGGAAGACTCAGAGTGTGATGTTGATGAGGCCCAGGAAGAGCCCATTGACTGAAAGGGTTTAGCAAAAATGCAGAGGATTGCTTGAACAGGGTATATGCAGGAATCCTGAAGTCAAATTTAATACCTTTTAAGACCTTTTTTAAGACCCTTTCCATACGTTTTAAGACCTCATCGCAACTTTGAGTTCTAACCGGTTACATTGGCAACACACTTTACC